GCGTACCGTCACCCGTTGAGCGATAAACGGCGACTTTAGTTCGGACAATGACGTTCAATGTAGCGTGACGGGATGATACGTTGCGGGTGCCCGACCACCCGCCGGGAAGCTCTTGGTTGCTGAACATGGGGGCCGCACATCATTACCCATCGTTGTTGACACTAGCTTATAAACGTCGTCATTCGGGCTCGGGGGTGTGTGACGGACAGTCAACACCGTGGTGCCACGTCACGACTGGAAGCTAACATTCGATGGGGGTTGGAAAAATCCCCAACCTGCTACCTTGCTTTAATTTGTTAACCTTAACGAATGACATTATTAGCTTTTTTTTTCGATAGGAGGACACGAACATGATAAACGTACGTGTCAGTTCTACAATTACTTTCTATACGATACTTCGTGAATACTTCTTTGCAGAAATAGAAGACGTATATAGAAACATACAGTGCTTCTCGGCACACATGTTTCATATTCCGCTTGACTGAGAATTTGATGGAGTAACGGGCTGAAGGTATCGAAACAAGATAGAAGAATAGTAGGAACTCGCAAAGCGGCACAAGCGCAGTGGTTGCTCAGGCGTACAGGGGGTGGAATATAAGCTCCGATAAATCCGACTGCGCAGTTAAAAATTGATGTAGTAGTTTCGGAAGTGCATGGGGCCGGCGGTTAAGTCACGTATGTAGTCAACGGTAAACGGAAGCCCATATCAATAAGTATCGGCTGTGTGTATCGGGATCTCTGCGCGCGAACGAGCGGGAGAGGAATTGAGAGGGAGGAAAAGGGGGAGAGATGGCGCGCCGTGTTGTATAGAGAGCTAGTCGATGGGATGGCGGTTCCAAGGCCGGGGGTAAAATAATGGGGGCGGACGCTCGACTCGAAACATTGACGTTGCCCGGCGCGCTTACAAACACACCGACACCAATCGAGCATGGCTCTTCCTACACAAAACCGATGTAGGGGGGCTTCGTTGGCCAGGCGGCCGGTTAGCTTTACAGGGGAGGGGGAGGAGAGAGGAAGAGAGAGATAGAGAAAGGGGAGAGAGGGGGGGGGGAGGGATGGAGAGAGAGGTAGGAGTGGAGGGAGGGAAGAGTAGAGAACGGAGGGTAGAGTATCAAGAGAGGTGCGGAGGGAAGAACACGGAGAGGATGAGGGAAATACGCATATATATCCTTGTACAACGTTCTATGCCATCGATGCGGCTCGTGTTTAACGCCCTTATAAATGTGTAATGCGTATACTTGAAAGTGGGAACGATCGGGACGCGGGACGGGAGGGCGGCAGAGGACCGGGTGTAGGACGTACCCGCAACTCGCCGGGGTGGGCCCTCTGCGTATCGATAAACGATCAATCAACCGGTACACCTATGGACGAGGCCACCGAGGGTAAAAGAGGCGGCGGTGGCAGCGGCGGGAAGGCAGAGACGGTCGGAGGAGAAGGAGGAGGAAGTGGTAACGGAGGACGACGTAGGGGTAGGAAGTACAAGGGATGAGAGAACGGTACGATGGTGGGTGAAGATGGGTATGTGAGAGGAAGGATGGAAGGGGTTGAACGGAAACAGCGGCAGTAGGGGCAAAAGACAGAGGAGGCACGAGACGAGCGGGGTGAGGGTAGCGCGGGGGAGGGTGGCGGCTTGCAGAGTATCGACCCATCGCAGAGGAGAAGGCAGCCAGGGTCGCCGTCGCCGGGTTTTGTTGATGTAGGTGTATACGCTCCGCGTATCTGTCTATCTGGATATCTGCGCGAAGACGTTACGAGACTCAATCTCGCTGTCGCATCGGCGATACGAGTCTGAATCGTTTCCATGCTTTAATTCCGTTGAGGCATACCACTCGGGAGTGTTCTGCGATTTCTCCAACGTATATGCTATTCAATCTTGACCCTCGGGATTTACTGCTTGTCTGACATGACTGCAATAGAATATGTCTACGATTTTGCTTTAATCTCGGAGGTACATACTTGTACGTCATGAGTCCTTAATAAGAATGTGCATAGTAAGAAGATTTACAGAACTTCTTAGATCATTAATGTCCCTTTAACCTGAAGTAATCTTCATTTTATGGACTTTCACATTCGCCACTCGCTCTCGAGGTATACGTTCCGCCTGAGTATCCAGGAGCAACGAGCTCAATGTCTATATTTCTACGACGTGTTTTCTCTCATCCTCCAATGTGTATCTGAGACGACAGGGAAGCTATTAGAGAAGGAACGCGATCATTGAAGTAGCCGAGTCAAATTATCTACGGCATACTCGATGTATATTCTAAAGGACATATCGCGATTCCGTATCACTCATGCACCGTTAAGCACGTTAACGACTTCAAGCTGTCTGAAACGCATCGCGTCCTCAGCGTCTTCAGCGTTGTCATCGTCTTGCTTACCATAAACGACATGTTCAATCGGAGAAGCTCGTTTCGGATGTATCATCACGCGTACACCTTTTTCATTTTTACCCTTCGTGTACCCTCACCTGTTCCCACATGTTTCCGCTTCGTTTTAAGCGGCATGCACGCCGCTTAACTCGCACAGAGGGGGAACAATGTACAGCCACCGAGCGTAGCTACGTGGATCTGCCCATTGTGGGGTCAGGTGGGTCGTCGGTCGGCGGAGAGCTCGTTGGCTGGCTCCGCGGGGTGTGGCCATATAACCGTAGCCACAACGATTCTCTCCTCTCTCTCTCTCTCTCTCTCTCTCTCTCTCTCTCTCTCTTTCGTCTACTCTCGCAGTCTCATCCTCTTCGTCTGTCTAGTTTCTCGTTCCTCTCGTTTCATCGTCGCTCGTTTCACTCTACGTTCGTTTATGCAGAGTTAACGTGTTTCGTCTTGCTCTTGCTAACTGAATCCACGATCGTACTGATAACAATAGCGAGCTCTTCCTTCCCTTTCTCTCTATCTTTCGTTCGTACTATCCTAACGCTTAGTGTTCCCCTTTCTGCCCGAAGCCGGTGCGCGCGCGGCAGTAGGGATACGCCAGTGCGTGTACGCCATCGGGAGCTACCAAGCAGGCGCATCGTCGGCCTATTACAATGGCCAGCCCTCTTAAACGTTTCATTGTCATCGGCGTTCTCTCTGCCCATGCGTCGATGCGCGCGAACCATTGTTTCTCGTCGAATGGGCGGCTCTCCACCGCCAACGAGACCACCGTCATCGGACAATATCGCGCCGTTTCCACTGTGAGGCTAGCCGAGGCGTGAGTTTCTGCGCGATCGAATTAATTGCTTTTATCTAGCGATGCGATCCCCTTCTGTTGGAAAGTTATTGCGATTAGCATGATAGATTTGTCAATTAGACTGTTCGATCAATTATTAGATGTATAAATTTCACTTCACAAATCGCCGATTGTTTTTATTGCAACGATAATATAATTTATCTTTAAATTTGTGCATCAAGCTATTGCAAATGTACATTGTAACTCTGTCTCTCTCTCTCCCTCTTTTTTTTAAGTAATTAATGTTTATTTATTATATCACTTTATATGTATATATCTCCACGATTTGCACGCTTTTGCTTTGTCCTTACTATGTGTAACGAGGCGGCAGCCAAAGCGCGCTCACTTTTCTCTTTTGCAGTAGTTTATACCGCTTTTTACGAACGCAGGATAATCGGAATACATATATTTGTCGCGTTTAACATCAGAGAAGTGAGATATATCATCGTGGCACGAACTTGTTACCACGCTACCGTGTATAGCTAGATCTAATAATAAGTTTCGAGGATAGTTATTTTTTTTTTTTACCAACACATATACATATCGATTATTTACGCGTGCCATCGAAGTTTTCCTGCTTACGACATTCCTCCGTCCGGTGAAAGAACAAGTTTGTTCTGTAACGACAAAAACAATTATCGTGAAAACTGCATTCATTAATAACGGATAACGTATCGTTGCATCGCGTCACGTAGATATTCAGGTAGAACCGGTCGGACTAACTCGATATGCGAATCTTTCAGATAAGCACGCATCGTCAAGTAAATCAGGCCTTCTCTCGTTACACGCGTATTCTTAATGCAATATCCCGGGACACCGACTACAATCAACTACGGATCTTACAACCAGTGCTAAAGATAATGATCCCAGCGCCCGATAAGTATTAATAGCGTGAGCTAGTTGCGTCGATGCACGGTTACAAAGCGAAGATACGTCCTTCCGTTTCTCATTCCATTATATTAAGTGCTCCACTTGCCGATTCAAAGCTCGATACACTTGATACGCGCGATGCATTTCGAATCGTCTTGATTTTTGACGTTCGCAAAACAACGAGTACGAGTTCCGGTCGTGATGCGCGGCGCTAAACTGTAATTATCACGAATTCATCTTAAGAAGTGATCACGCATTCTTCTTGCTACATGATATTACCGATGATCTACAGTACATTGAAAATTGTAGTCTTCCGCGGTGCACGATCGCGATCTTCTTGATCCACGTCCAGGGTAATAAATCTGCCCTAATGTTGGGTTACGAGAAACAGTTATCGGAGTCTTGAAATTTATCGGTTCCTTAACAATTTTCCGCTATTATCGTCAACGATCATTAACAATTCTTTCAATCGTAACAATTCAACGGCAGTTTTTTATAACCTGAGATTAGTGCGCTATATTAAGTTTAAAATATATTATACTTTTAAATAACTATAGACGCGAGGCATAGATTACAAACGCATTGTTCGGAAATATGATTTCCGATATGTTAATGCTACGTTATGATAATAGATAATCGGCTCCTTAAAATTTATCGCCTGTTCGATACTTTCAATATTACTTTTGACATTTGATTCGTATAATTATAATGATGAGAGAGAGAGAGAGAGAGAGAGAAATTTTTAACTTGCTCTTCATATATAACGCGTCGCTAAATATTGCTTTTAATTGCTTAAACGATATCAATGTCAATATTGCCTTTAATATCATAATTAAGTTGCACACAAATAAAATTTTTTGCCATTTCCAATAAATACACCATAATACACCATAAGATGTTTTTTTTATAAAATATTTTTGCAATATTTAATGCATATTCAGTATGTACGTTCTCTCTTGTCTTTCGAGAGCAATTTTCTTGACTTGCTCCCACAGCATAGGATAGGGATGAACTGTTCTGGCAAAATCTGCACGATCTAGGCGATATAACTCGCAGATTTCAACAGCGACTACACTGGCTACTCTTCGCTCGTTTGGCATCATCAGCGCAATCTCCCCAAAGTACGCGCCATCCTCCAAGTGACATACTTCCTTTCCGGTGATTGTATAAATAGCCACTGTACCACTGGCGATGAAGTACATGCAATTACCTGGTTCATTTACCCGTACAATTATGTCGTTCGGTAAAAATATTTCAGATTTTAGTAAATCGACAATGCGTGTTATTAACGCGAGAGGTAGGTTGTTGAAAAACGTAACGTTTTCTACGAGTTTGCGACAACCGTGCATCCCGATTTCCTGGCGCATAACCGAGGATAGATTATTGAGGATCTCAGCTTCGGAAAAATATTGCTGTTGAAAGCAATACTCATAGTAGTTTATGATACGACGTTGAGTCACGTACGGTAGTTGCCGACGCTTCATATACTGTTTGACTTCTGCCATGATATTTTGATATTTTATCTTAGAGCTATTGATGCCCTTGTAGAACTGGTTCACGCGAGCTATGAGAATCCAGATAATTAAACTCCCCAAGATTTGTAAGAGGATCACCAGTGTGAGGTCTGCATTGGTTTTTGGTTTTTCATGTAAAAACCCCGCCGACAAAGAAATGGAAACAGTACGTAAGAGACTGTGCAGATATTGAAAACATATGGATTCTTCCCACAGATTAAATTCATTTATCCAGTAGTCATCGCTTGGTTGCTTCGGTAGGTGCATGGAAGTCATTGCTATTGGCACTAGCCAGTAAAGACAAATCTGCCACTGAAATGCTATAATTAGCCAGAATATCACAATGCAGACTTCATAAAGGGTTATTGGAACGTTGTATGCGTGAGCAATTTTTAACATGTAGGAACTGAGAGAAAATACACGAAATCCGCACATCAAAGATACCAGCTCACGTGTGACTGTATTCTCTTGCCATGTTTTAATAAACATGATATCAGTTGGTAGAGAACCCAGCAAGTCTGGCAAGAAAGTACTATATTTTATATATTTCTTCATTATCTTTTTCGGTTCCATCACGACAATACAATGCACCTTGTCAAAATATCTGTTCATCAATAGATAAATAAATTTTTAATTTTATAGAGACTTTAATACATAAATCTTATTATAACAAGAACATTAGAATGCAACGTCCAGAAATTGTATTTCTGTGTTGCATTCTGCGGAAATTTGGATATATCAGCTCAATAAAATAAATTTAAATTCAGTTAAATTATACCCTGTCATAAAATTGACGATTATGTCCATGCAACAGAAAAAAAGTAGGAAATTTTTACAAATTGTCCAATAAAGTAAACGCATCTTTATTCTGAAGGCAGCTTGATATGGAGTAACCAGCAGTAAGCATATTATTATTAAAGTCATTAGGATATCCCAGGAAAGTCTGCGCTATAAAAGATTCGCTTTAGTTTACAAAAGATATAGTTTAATATATTTGATATATAAATGTATATAATAAATTTTACATATATGAGAAAATTGTAAAAATTTGTTGAGGAAATATACCTAAAAATACTGAATGGATGAAGGATATACTTGTATCTATATAAATGCCGTTGCTTTTCTATGAATATGGAATCGCGACTGCGTAAATACTTGCGAGCAGCTGGATTTTTTCTTGATGCCATCAGTAAAGAGCGGAAAGTGTCAAACGCTTTTTGGAAGAAAGTACGATTAGGAAGAAAGAATAAATCTTCATCGTCTTGGTCGGTCTCAATTTCGCATACATGGTCCATACGAAACATTATGGAATCGTTTAATTGTGAATAAAAAAAGGAATTTTATTAAATGTATATATATATATTACATTATTCTAATTACAGAATTACAAATATCATTATAGGCCATGAAACAAGCGTATATCGCTGGTAATGGCGGCATCTCTTTGAATGAAAGAACAACTTGTCCTTTCACAGATTCGTGCGAGTAAATGCAGTCGGTAATATCGTTGCCGGTGGATGATCAAGCTTGTGTTCAGGTTTCTCTCGGAGTTTCTCTTTCGATATGATATCGGCACATTATCTTGAAGCCTGAGAGCGAATGTAGTCGTGTTTTAGATGAAACTGAACTTTATTGTTAGATGGAACTGTTTACTGATACTTTTACAATATAAAACGTGCACGTTGAATTACGTATTCAGATATCCGCAAATATGTGCATGATCTTTGATTTTATTCTATATTACGTATATTATTGCTTCTATTCAGTGCTATGTCTATAAAATATAACCGCGTAACAATGAATCATAAATATAATAATTAAAAATTGAAATAATTTAAGCTCAAAGAAGATATTAAAAATAGATATTAAAAAGCGTATACGATATATTTTAATAGTGTTTTTGCACAATGAAAGAAAAATTAATAAAAAGATTAGATTTTTTTTATTTAGACATTTATTATATTATACAGAAAAATGCACAAGCAGTTAATTTTTTAGGTTGTTTTATTTCGAGTAATAATTACGAACAAATCTTAATTTTCAGAATTATATAACTTGTGCAACACTTTTTATTGTAGTTATTATATTGTATTTTTATTGAATTAATTAATTTTGTTCAAACACGATCTTCAATCAATATATGTATAAACATAATTTGAAATTGTTCGGAAAATCGTAGATAGACAATTGTAAATTATGATATATCTAATGTAAGATTTATTCTTATTCAAATACTTCAATAAAAATTAACAGATACAATACACACAATATTGCATAATTTAGCAATTTATAATTCTATGTAAAATTCTCATAAAAGTTTATTTAATAAAAGAGAATGACATGAAAAACAATTATATATACTATAATATTTAAAAAGTTAATATTTTGACACGAATCTGAATATACAGTTAACTAAACAGTTAATATGTTATATAGTTAATATGAAAAGTTAACTAATTAATTGGATGTACTTACCAAATTGCTGATTGTTCATTGAAACTGACTGTGTTCCGTTGACCGAGTTTCGTAAAGCTAGGAGTAGCATGATGCCTGCCGGCTCGAATCGTTTCGCTCGACTGAATGCATTACCTCTCCCCTTTCTCCTTGTTCTAACTTGCTCTACAAAACAAACATTAAGGCTAACTTTGAAACTCAAACGAAATATTAAGTGTCTTGTAAAATTTTATTTAAACTTTTACAAATTTTACGAATTTTTAGTAATTTTAATTCGAATGATTCAATTCTTTTTTAATTAAAAATCTATCCTGAATTCCGTGGACTCAATTTAACGGATATGTTATTCGAAGAATATATTATTTCAAAATTTTAAATTGATCAGCAAATTGCAATCACACAGTCGAAAAAAATATAAAATATCTGTCAAGAATTGACATTTGTACTGAAATTTTTTAATCCTATATTATCTATATGTTTAGTAAAAGAGAGTAACGTAAAAAATTCACAATTTTAGGTTTTTTTTTTATAGCAGAACTGATGTACTCGGTGTATGTACATATCTATATTTAAATTAAATTAAAATAAGATAGATATATATGTTTGAAGTTTTATCAAAAAAGGAAAGATAATTTTAGTCTTTTGCAATGATAATAAATAATATTGCTGCCATTCTAATATTATTATAAACAATTTATTATCTAATTATTAGTGTACTTGCTAATAAAATGCTAATAAATTAAGGTAACTGTCCATTGAAATTATCCATTTTTCATTGAGTTAGTTTCTTAAAGAGTAACATGCCACTCGTCAGCTTGAATCGTGTCCCTTCACTACAATTAATGAGAGCAATGTACTTTTAATTTAACAGTTTGTCTAACAAGAAATTATACCAAAGCTAAAAAAACGAAAAGAAAAAACAGATGTATAAAGAAAAAGGTGTTTACATATTAATTTATTTTTACTAAATTAAACTTTGTTTAAATGTGTGTGTGTGTGTGTGTGTGTGTGCGTGTGTGCGCGTGTGTGTGTGCATGTGCGTGTATGCATGTGTTTAAATTGAAAATATATGTACAAATATAAAAAAATTTAGTCATGAATTTTATCTTAATTATATTCAATTAAAAATCTAATAATAATTAAAATATTAGAATTGATTTTATATTTTTATAATAAATATATTTAATAATAGTATTATATTTTTATTCTTTTTCTGCTATATTATTTTTGGTGTATGTTTTGCACAGATATACTATTAAAATATATACTTGATACTTTTTTGAAATTTTAATCTTTTTAGGTTTAAATTTAGGTTTAAACTAGTTTAATCGAAGATTGTGAATATGTTACCCACTGGAAATATCCGTGACTACATAGTTCAACGTGCACATTTTGTGCACATAGAGGCGCCAGTAAACGGCTTCCACTTAATACGCGGGCACTCTCAAGTTTCTCTCTGTTGACACTATCTAAATAGAACAAAATATGTGATTTAATTTAAAATGATTTCTGTATTTTTTAAAAATAATTTCTGAAACCCAAATAAAGATTGGAAACTTTTAATACTGCTGGTAACTTTTGATCAATTTTGTTGTGTATCCTTTTTCCTTTAGGGGGATAGCACTTTACTTTTATTTGTTTGAAAATGTCTGCAATTACATTCTTAAAAAATATTTAATATCATGCAATTCTTGTTTCTATTTGATCTAAATTATTTATATATAAATTATTTTAACTTTTGTTTCGCAATTTTTTTCATGACATTTATGCTATATAATTTGCAAGATATCCCGTATAAAAATATTTTAATTGTTAATTTTATATATATATATATATATATATATATACACACACGCATATGTATATTAAATACTTTTGTTAAAAGAGATTTAATTAAGATTTTGAATTAAATTAGAAAAATTGAATTTATTAAAAAATTTGAATGTGTTGTATCGTTGAAAAAAATTTAAATTTTACGATTCGTGCGAACGCGCTTACTAATATGCGTGTCCATCTCGAAATTAATACCATCCAATATGCGAAATGCATCATATTTTTCATACGTTCCAGTTCATAGAGACGTGAATAATTGCCGGTATGATTTGCGAGTCGCGTACATCATAGCCAGTGAATTTTGGTGTGGTCAGTTTATTTTTAGTGCAACTGACAGTTGGTTTCCATGAGATATAAAAATATCGAACTGACTGTACGAATGAAGAAACGTTTTCCCTAGCGAGTGACAAATAAACGGTACATATGACAATATTTCGTTGTATGTAATGTTGTTATATATCCCGATATATTACACGTGTATCGACGATTGTTTTTCTGGAATTTTTGTTACACATGTTCGCTCCGATTATCATGGTAAAGATGAGAGTGTCTACCAACGGAGATCGCAGATCGCTTTTAGGATGGATGATCTGTTCACGGTACATTTAAGTAACGCTTTATACAAGTCGGCTTTATGAGGGCTCAGACCTTCGTTGCGTGCACCGCATATAAAGACAACCTTCTGGTATATATTCTACGCGTTGAATTCTCAATGTAACGACGAGATTTTATGGACAATTTTATTTGTTCCCTATATACGAATAAATGTGTATCTATGAATAAACTCCGCCATAACCATGCTTATTTGAGTGAGTAAAAACGATACAATATCTTTCGCGCATAGAGAAAATATTTAACATTTATACTTTTATATTGATGCGGATGAAATGCTCTCAATTATTGTCATAAAATAAAACGTGAAAAAGCTAATTCGAAATTTTTGAGTGTTACTTACGCAGATACCGTTGTCGGAACTAAAGGGGTATCAGGAAACATTTTATCCCAGACTCCGGAAAATCTACCGGTTAAGCAGTGTACGCAATTTAAAGTCGCTACTTCTGTCCGTCCCGAGGGAATTAAGGGTCAGACGTGGAGGCAAGTATATCGCCAGGAAGTCGGGTTCTCCGCAGCTTTTTTCCTCTTCTATCCTGGTAATAAATTTTCAAGTCGTCCAGCAACGTCCTGGAACTCAGGAACGATGTTATAGACGGTGCTCGAGAACAAGAAGGGTGGTTACTCAGGATACGCTCACAACCCTCCGCACATACTAACGTGGATTTACCGAGGCCCATCCTCCACGTAACGACGAGTGACTGCGGAAGAGTCTATATACGCGGTTCTGGGGTGGAAAGTTATGGGTGGTCTCGTTGCTGTATCAATATCTCGTTAGGGGCTATGACGGAAATAAAACTGGAATGTTCGTCTTTCTCGGGGCTGACCGAGCTAGCAAAATTGTAATGTGACCTGCAGGCGCTATCGCGCCAGTCGCTCGTTACATGTTATAACTTTGAATGTAGGAATAGTGGTATAGTATAGGAATTGAATTATTGTGTCATGTTTTATGAAAACTGCAATCGATCATTGCTATACACAGAAACGTTACCATGTATTGCAAAATCGGCTTACCGTATCAATATCAACTAACTGGGAAATGACGGAAGCGTTAAATAGGATCTCTAATACGTACACGTATTTGCTAGTTATCCATTGATATTTACGTCCTGTCTCTCATTAGAGGGAAAGATGGGATGATTTCAAGTGCGTATAACGAGCAGCGTTTCGCGGTTCTATAATTGCTTCGATTTTCATCGAATTTCATCAAATTTTATATGAAAACGTATGAAAAACAGATTTTCAAGAGAATATATATATATATATATATATATATATATATCCTATTTCTAATTATACCAATTATTACATTTATCTAAAATATATTGATATTATATTGTGATTCATTCTGATACATATGCTGGTGTAGAAGTTTCATGGATTATTGCAAGTAGTTATTATATTCAGTAACCAGTGAATGGTCATGATCGATACTTAGTTATTCAAATAGCTTTACCAATACTTTGCGGTACAAAATTGTTATTTAGTTGGTGCTGCAGTAACACTATTGTATTTGTTGATACATTTGCCCCTACACTGCTACTTGCTACACTTGTATTTGCTACAGTTGAAAGTTCTGTAGAAATTATATACAAAAAGAAAATAACATTTTAAGAATTATATAAATAAATAATATATCCTACACATATTTAAGGATATTTGCATTATTTGTATTTTTTTTTCCAATAAGTTCACTCTCACACGTGATTTTATTTTATTAACACGGTAGGCCATATTTCAACACAATTGTCAAGACCGAGATGTTTCTTTTATATTTACAACATAAGGGTTCGCGCGAACGAAGGTAATTCTTGCTTCCGCCGCAATGATCAATAAACCATCCCGTCCACACTGCTGAACGACGCTTTATACTTCGATGGATGTAACGCGTAAGTACTTACGTACGTGTAGGTTCCGCCGCGTATATACGCAGTGAGCTGCCAACGATATAGCCAGCGAGACGAAAACACTCGTCTGCAAAGTCTAGTACTGGCGTAAATATACCGAATGGTAAGAGACGTAGCAGCAGTTACCCAAAAGCCATTGCTACCGGTCGCTTATGGAAACACGGCTCCGTAAATATTTTCGAGCACTCTGGTCTTTTTGGCGTGTCATTATAATCGAATGACACTCTATATTCTTAAAAATGCCTTCTATCCATTAAAGTAATGAGCAGAGTGTGTTATATGTATATCCGTGTTATAGTATAAATAATAAGTGGGTCCGAATTAAGACTTCCATATTATTAGAATAACTAGCAATAATATAATTATAAATTACATTTATATGTGTAACGATTGCACTGTAATAGTCTGTTCCTGCTACGATTTCAGTCATACTCGTCATTTAGCAAATAGCACGTTTCATTAAGTTTTAAGCTAAAATAGACGTCATATCGATTTTGTATCTATATTGGATGTAATAGCAGAGTAACTTTTAAAATAAAGGATTTAAGGATTTTCGTTTTACATTTTTGACCAAATAACGTAATAACTGTGAAAGCATTTTTTTTTCCCGAAATAGTGCCTCGAACAATTTTTTGATTATTTTTCCGATATAGAGTCCATGCTACATTTCGCTGTAGTGATAAAGTTGCTGGAGGTATAACGCGTAATCTATTATTATGAGTCGGGAAGAGAGAGGAGGCAACTGGTGGCCGCACGTACTTACGCTCGCTCTCGCGTGTTCTCTACGCGCATCGCGCGCATATACGCGTCGCG